GTTTCAACCTAGGAGTGTGCCATGATGAAATCATCTGCTAGGTATTCATCTGTGTCAGCATGGACGTTAAGAAGATGAAAATAACTGGATTCAAAGTTGGTGCTTTTTATGGTCGTGATAGTCCTTCATTCCCTAGATGACTTTGTCTGCTTGTATGTATTGCTAGGGGATTTGGCTTGACAGCAGAGGAGCATCTTCCAGTGACCATGGCTATGGGAGTCACATAGATGAGCAAGCAGAGCATGTTTTCACTTCGTGTGGAGCCTGCTGGCTGTTATGAGACTTGCAGCTCCCAATGCAGGTGGTGGGATGAATACACTTGCTGTCATACCTTAGGATTCTTTCTGAACCCTTCCATTTCTCAGTTTGTCAGCCTGAGTTAAAACTAGTCTATGCCTTGTGTTTGTGAATATTTCAATGTACATTAACTATGGGGGGATCTCGAGAGCCTCCAGGGACTAGGGATGATTGGGGAAATTTCAAAAGAAGAACACTTGGAACACGTAACGTCTGTTTTTCTGTCAGAGTCTCCCCGTGGAAAGCTTACTCCTCAACACTAATTCTCCAGCAGGACAACCTCTTGGATACCCATGTAATGTTTTATTAGCCTCTGTCAGGGAAAGGTGATGTGTTAGTGGTAGATTCTTGGTATGGGAAGCAATTATTACCCTTAATTTCAGGGTCTCTTAAAGTCACATTGTCTGCTTTGATGCCATTGACAGTGTGCTTGGGATGCCTATCCCATTGGTAAAGGCCAAGTGTGAGTTGCCCTTTCTGCTCTGCCCCCCTGTCCTCCCATTTCATTTTTTCTTCTCACGTTCATTAGAGTTCTGAAAATGTATACTACGGGTCAAGAAGATTGAAATAATTGATATAGGGGCTGAAATGGATGGATGGAGAGTGGTTCACATGTTCTAACAGGAAATAAGTTGTATACTAAATGTCTTTGTGAAGCACTTGTTAAAATGCTGCACAGTACAATGTGTCTAGAAATTACTAAAAGGCCCGGTGCTGTCTTACTTGTTTCCTTAACTTTTGGTGTATTATGGAGACATAAAATATATATCTGCTGCTGCCTACAGTCATGAAGGAGCAGAAAAACCTTCTGAGAGCCAGTGTTGTCAAGTCTTTTTACAACTTCAGCTCTCGAAATGTTAAAATTCCTAAAGACTTTCAGTTTCTCTTAAAAAAATAAAATCTCGTCATTATGGTCTCAGAGAAGATTTTTGTAAACACAAAATCCAAGGACTTAAAAAAAGTGTCAGAAAAGTTTCTGGAGCCAGGAGTCCTGAATTTTTAAACTTCTGAAGTGTAACGAATGGACTCACTTTTCCTTTTTATCAACTAAGGCATAGCCTAACTGCACAGTTTTATTTTCTATCTAATTTTTTACATAGACCATGCTCCAGTTATTCCCGGCTCCCCCTTTATATTTTCAATGTGATATTTCTGAGCTAGAGACTTGGCAAGTCAGAGCTCTTTCCTTACTCTTTTTCATGACAGGTTTGATTCTGTTGCTCTTGGAAAAAAATTCTTATTCTGATTTTCTTACCACGCAGCTCATGTGGTGATACACAGGGAAGTTTTGAACTCTCTGGAGGGATTCTCAAATGCTGGCTTGTGAACAGTCTTTGTAGCCCAGATAACCTAAACTATTAAAATGGTAAACAAACAACTTTGGGATTAAGGAAGGGGAATGATCTGTGTCTTTAGAAGGCATTTGTCTCCCTGATGGCTGACTGGAAGTGTCTGTGTGGTCTGAAGTCTTTCTCAGTGAGTGTTTCATCAGCTCCACTCAGTGGCTCCAGCCTCTACTCTAGGCATTTATAAGTAGACTGTAATTTATTGTAGTTTCCAAGATCTTGCAGCTGCCTGCTTAGGTCCAATGAGAAACCAATTTCTGCCCCCGCCCAGTGGCAAATCTAATAGCCTGGGACCGGTAAAGGATAAGGGGGCAGAGAGGCAGAGGGAACTGAAGGAATTTGCCAAAGGTCGATTTTAAGATGAGCGGTAGGAACAGTCTAAGCACCCAGGTTCTTGACCTGCAACCTAGTGCTGTTATGCCTTTACTCATGGTGCTTTCTGCTCCTGCCAGAATATGGTGCTGAGATTTGGGAGACATTGCATTAAACTGTCTGGCTCCAGGAACGGCTTTTGAAAGCGCAGATGATCCTTGAGAAGAAATGTCAATGTTAGAAATGACACCGACTACTAACTCTGATCCAGTGAAACAGTATCTAAGAAGATTTCAACCCCAGTGCTCAGCGATGACTAGATAATTCATCACTGCTGTATTTTGTATAGTCTTTCACACAGACTGAGTCCCTGTGTGTGTGCTTCAGAAAGTTAAATAACAGTTACACGGATAATAGCAGCAGAGTGAGAAAGAAATAGGGAGATAAAGACACAGACAAGAAGACACATCTGAGGAGAACTGGGAAGTGACAGAGAGTTAATGAGCCAAAGAGAGATTGGAGCAGGCTGTTTTATCAGAAAAGATTTTCATCTCAACATAAAGAGAAATCAAGCACATGGTTGAGTTACCGTTTAAGGTAAACTTGAAGTAAAACCCCTCCTCACTGAGGTTTCTAAACTTTTTTTTTTTTTCCCTAGTATCTCCACATTCTCCTAGAGAGGAAAATTTCCAACTGACTTGCGATGTGCTTGCCATTACAGGTTCTGAGTCTGCTTCTCCACGTGGCACCTTGGAGTTTCTAGCTGGCACCATTACCTCCAACGAGTGGAGTTCTCCCACCTCCCCTGAGGGGAGCAACGACTCGGGGGGCAGCGAGGCCTTGGACAAACCCATTGACAATGACGCTGAGGGGGTGTGGAGTCCGGACATCGAGCAGAGCTTCCAGGAAGCGCTAGCCATCTACCCACCATGTGGTCGGCGGAAGATTATCTTGTCAGACGAAGGCAAGATGTATGGTAAGGAGAAACAAAGGGTACATCACAACACTCTGGGCAGCCTGCCCTGTGCAAGCCACTTGTCTTTGTACCAAGAGATGGATGTTCTGAATGAATTCTCTTCTCTCGGGCATTCCCAAGCTGATGCAGTTGGTTGCTTCAAGTTGTAGTTTGGAAAATCGGTGAAGATTTTAACATTCATGTATCAGAAAGAGTTACGGATGTCATTTTCAAGGTGTTATAAGTTAGTTTAAGAATTTTGACAACTCAGTTCCAATTAAAAATTGATAAATTTATTAAGCAAGCGATAATAAAGCAAACAGCGCTGGGTGGCCTGGGGGGCCGGTGCCCCGCCAGAGACACACAAAACTTGTTTGAAAACTGGGCTTTTGTACCTTCTCGATATCAGTTGTTGAATATTCATTCATTGTCCGT